TTATTTGTTTTTATAGTAATATCAGTGGCACTCAATGAGGAACTAGCCATTATTATTGCTAAAAGTTGCATATAGATGGCGTGATTGGTATCGATGGAATTCTTCATAGTTTTGCAAACGTTTTAAAAAACAAAACTGTGTTTTCAAAAATGTTTAATCAATTTTTAAAAAGTTATATATACATGTTAAAATGAAATAATGCGTTTAGAAAAGTAATTTTCATATATTTACTCATTTTGTTATTTTCCAGTACTTAATTACACTTTAATCAGTGCTAATATGGGGCTCAATGTTTTCAAAATGCTTTCATAGATGGCATTGTCGTCATTTGTATCGGCCTAATTAAATGTCTTTTTTATATTTTCCAATAATAAGCACTTAATATATTATTATTGTAAATTAAACATATAAATTTTTTTTAAGTAAATTAAAAATAGCCGAACAAGCAAGTAATACTATTTCCAATAATACTTATGTATGAAGTGTTGTCATATTAAAAATAAATACATGTATTATCGATTTTTTTGAATAATCGATAACAGGATTTTATTACAGCGCATTATTCGATGATGCTTTTAATGAGTCGTTGTGAACAGTAAATTTTCATTATTATGTATTATAGCAGTGTTCCGTTTCAAAGAACGGAATATAGTAGTACATTATTAGTGTCGTTGGTTATTTACATTTGTACTGAATAATCGATTACATAATAATTTAAAATATCGAGTACGAATCGTAGCTGTCTTCGAATACTGGCAACTGGTAAGATTAAAATAGTATTTAAAAAAAAGAGAGAACTCGACCCTAACTCGAATACCATAAAGTTGATTTTCCTTTCTCATTAATATATCATAGCAGTTTGTTTTTAACTTGCGTATGACTCTGTGGTATGATGTTTAACGTGTATTGTTATTATACGGTGCATACATTTCAAAAATTATATTTTAATGTAGGTACATACATTTCATACATGTCAAAAATTATCTTTTAATGTAGGTACATACATTTCTTTCATACATTTCATACATTTCAAAAATGAACTTTTTATGTAGGTACATACATTTCTTTCATACATCTCATACATTTAAAAAATTATATTTTAATGTAGGTACATACATTTCATACATGTCAAAAATTATCTTCTAATGTAGGTACATACATACATTTCTTTCATACATTTCATACATTTCAAAAATGAACTTGTAGGTACATACATTTCTTTCATACATCTCATACATTTCAAAAATTATATTTTAATGTAGGTACATACATTTCATACATGTCAAAAATTATCTTTTAATGTAGGTACATACATTTCTTTCATACATTTCATACATTTCAAAAATGAACTTTTTATGTAGGTACATATATTTCTTTCATACATCTCATACATTTCAAAAATTATATTTTAATGTAGGTACATACATTTCATACATGTCAAAAATTATCTTCTAATGTAGGTACATACATACATTTCTTTCATACATTTCGTACATTTCAAAAATGAACTTTTTATGTAGGTACATACATTTCATACATGTCAAAAATTATCTTCTAATGTAGGTACGTACATTTCTTTCATACATTTCATACATTTCAAAAATGAACTTTTTATGTAGGTACATACATTTCTTTCATACATCTCATACATTTCAAAAATTATATTTTAATGTAGGTACATACATTGCTTTCATACATTTCAAAAATTATCTTTTAATGTAGGTACATAACACCCCATGTCAGACCCCTTGTATTTGGAAGAAACTTAAAAATAATGCCAAAAATATTAGATGAATATATTTTTAATACGAATATTGTTTTATTTTTGTTCATCAACTTTATCCCTCACTAACAATACTAGTAGTAGTACATAACCTGGTTTATACCGCTAAAGATATTGAAAGATATACGAGTAATTCAGAATGTTATCAAGTTCAAAATAAGCACACATTACTTGCTTAGATAACAGAGTAATATTACTCGTAATAAAAACATTTGTAACACCCATATGTACACTACGTATGTATAGTAAGTACTTACGCTGCGGCGCCGTGAGACTCGTCTACCTCATCTATTAACCAATAGGAGCGCGCCTCTCGTGTTTAACGGACGATATAGTAGTAAGGCAATGAGTGTCCCAGTGACATCATTATAATATTTTCTCGTTAAATTTTATTGTAATATACACAATTTCGCACTAAATAACGTGTTACCCCGTTACACATTTCTAATAATGAAAAACCTTTTTTTTTTTTTTTTAATAGGGGTTGGTGAAAGACGGGTGAAAATTTAGGCGTGTATGTATTTTCAATGTAACATTATAAATAAATAAAAAATTGTCCATAATACAAAAAAATATTTTTTCGGGGTAGGCCACCCCTATGACTTAGGGGTATAAAAAATAGATAACAACCCTACCTCAGACCTGGCAAGTATACATATCAAATTTCATCAAAATGTGGGAGAAATATGGCAACTAACACTGTGATACAAAATTTATATATAAGATATAGCGGAATTCTCATTAGGGAAAAGAGGGGTACATCGTAGAATACATGAGGTATATACCAGTAAATTAATTGTAGCTAAAACCAGTCTCTTACACATAACGATTGAAATAAAAATCATATAGCCCGATTTTGATACGTACGAGTATAAAAGTATCAAAATCGGGCTATACGTATAGCGCAGACGCGTTACAACATATCAAAACAATAGGCATGGAATGCAAAATAAACCATAACATAATAGGTATATACATTGGCACATAAGCCATATCTGCAGAGTGTCGGCTAACGATATTATACCTACACATTTACATTGAATCTTGAATCGTCCCTAATGAGGTACACGATACAGTTACCTACATATCTATTATATACATATCTTTGCAAAACAGATGTCATGTAGACTGAATTGACTGCCATCTATTTTCATGCTTTGTTACTAAGCACCCACTAGTAATCCGAACTGCTTCAGATCTAGCGACATCTAGCGGCTACGGTGGCGAAATAAAATAGCCCGAAGAATAGCCCGAGTTAGGAAGGAACCATTTTCTTGTATGGGATGGGGTATCTGTATGTAATATTATGTTATCTGTGATAATATAAACACTTTCGCTCCAAAACTCCCGCTGCCTACGTTCAATCATCCGTCATCCACTTGTCAATGTCACATAGATTACTTTGGCTCTGGCCTCTGACGTTCCGTTTCAGGTTACATGATATTGACTTTACCATTTTTAATTAATGGTGCGTCACACGATAGTTAACACTTGCTCTTTTAAACAATCCTTGTAAGTTCACATTTTACAAGTCGAAACGTGTGAATACAAACTACCAACCAGCACTAATTTATTTAGGCTCAAATATAAAAACACGATAAGATTAAATCAGTCGTAGTGATAAGAGCATACCAGTCCCTACAAGCAGCACTCGTTCACGAGTATGACGGTTGAGTCAGCCATCACTGCGCTCGACCATATTTTAGGGAGCCCAATGACCCGGCCCACCACGCCGCCACATGTCTGGTCATTTTAGTGAGCATGACTACTCATTCCACTCGACCACGTCACAGCTACAAAAATTACTATATGGTAGTTACAGTATTCGCACTTTACACGAGGATGCATGCGGCAATCAATACAAAAGCCGCTACGCTTTCATATATCAAGAAAGCAGTATGAAAAATAAATTATAACGTTGTCCGCAAATAAACTTATACTTGCTATATATTGCTATCCTTACTAATATTATAAATGCGAAAGTAACTCTGTCTGTCTGTCTGTCTGTCTGTCTGTCTGTCTCGCTTTCACGCCAAAACTACTGAACCGATTTAAATGAAATTTGGTACGCAAATAGTCTATACGCCGAGGAAGGACATAGGCTACTTTTTAATGCGAATAAAGGGTTGTAAGGGGTTGAAAATGGAAATACAAGGTTATCTTTATGCGGTTTAATACACACATAGTATAATACTGGCTTAACTAAAAAATTAGAAATTTTGGAAAGTCTACTTTATAACTGTGGTATTAAGTCTAACTTGAAAAATTTTTAATTTCTGAATTACACCAATATTGTACTAGATATGCGACATAAATAAACATATATGTCATTTGTATAAGCAGCGCGCATGCGAAGTTGCGCGAGCAACTGATTATTGTCAATCCGTTGTCTCCTTATGAATTTAAATGTATAATCGTTTGCTCTGCAATATTATTTTATAAATACATAAATATAATCCTGATACGGGCTATAACTGATGACCCTGCTCTTGGACAAGATCGTAATCACATATTATTAATATTTTTGAAGATTAAAACAACATATAATATTAAGAATGAAGTTGTCTATACATATGAACAACATTTCCTTGGAAGAAACAACATCTACCGTTCCATCCGAGCTATTCAGGGTCGGAATACGCGTTTCTCCCTTCTGGCCAGTAGAGTCAAAGTATGGTTTGCGCAAGTAAAGGGATGTTTGCAATTTAGAATATCACATCTATTATTTTGATTTAACAAATTTTTATTATGTTATTGGCCAACTGTACCACCAATTTACAAAAGAAGTTAAAGAAATTTTTAGACTATACATTAAATATAAATAAATATGACATTTAAATTTGTAAAAATGTCACCATTCAAGGGGTAAAGTAAAATAGCAGATAATAGTTTTTATGGAAATTCGTCATATTTGAAGCTAGAACGATGAAACTTTTTTCATTCGCTTTTTTGTCAGTTGGTCAGTTTAATAAATACCTTACTAATATTACGATAGTGAAAGTAACTCTGTCTGTCTGTCTCACTTAAATGCCAAAATTACTGTACTGATTTAAATGAAGTTTAAAATCTAGATCCTGAGAAAGGACATAGGTTACTTTTTAATCCGAAAAAGGGTTATAAGAGATTGAAAGAGGAGGTTATATAGAAGTATCGTCATTTTTAAAGGTTGAAGCTTGAATCTTATTTTTTGCGTATTGATTAAATATAATTAACGAAAATGGGTTGTAAGGGTCAAAAGGTGAAATATGGTATGCAAGTATTGACATTTTTAAAGCTAGAAGCTTGAAACTTATTTTTTAGGCTGTTGAGAAAATATTAGTACCTACCTTCACAGGACTCAGCCATATGTGAAATTTTCATTTTTGGAGCTAGAACGATGAAACTTTTTTATTGGGTTAGATTATTAATACATATATTTTATTATTTGGTTAAGGTCACTATTTTACGCGGACGAAGTCGCGGGTACAGCTAGTCATCTATAAATTCATCTATCCTATAATAGGCTTTTTTACATAACATTTGTTTAATATAAAATTTGAATTGCCTCTCTGTCAGATTTAGCGTAGATTCTGGCAGTTTATTATAGAATCTTACGCAATTAGCATAAAATGAATTACTAACTTAAATAAAATATTAAATAATTATTTATTTAATATTTTATATTAATTAGATCGTCCTGTGAATTATCCAGATATATTTGTTATGAAGAAAACAAACTCCTGAACGCTGCATCCATTCCTGAAATTCCCTCTCTTTTTAAAAGTTACTTTATGTACTATATAAAATTCACTCTAATAAATTCTATAATCTAAAAATATGTATCGGTTTAATAATGATATTAATTTGTGCAGGCAATTGTGTACTTCGCTTTGCCAGAAGATGCATACACATTGCTTAACTGGTCACCAGGACCGCGGTGGCAGCAGCCCTGGAAAGATATCGCCTACGGATTAATTCGTGCTGTAGTAACACTCGCTGTGAGTATATACATTTTTTTTCGGACTACTCTAATGCTCTTGACCGCAGCTGGCCTTTACAGCTTCACCGGACGTTAGGGGGCGAGTGCAAATGGCACTCCAAACCAAAGGAAGGACTTATGATGTGGCTGAAGGCCAACTCCTGCCTGACGGATACGACTTTAGTCTGAGGGCAACATCTGAGGGTTCGAACCTCGGCTCAGGCCGTCGTAATTTCGATCCCCGTTTGAATTGGACGGGGGATCGATCGGAGGGGCTGTGAGTATATTCCCTCAAAACATTTGGGGGGCGGGGGGCTTGTTAGAAATGAGAATATTGTTAGTCATGGACATAGTTTTACCTAATTCTTTTAATGGCAAACCACCTTATATCTGTACCCCCACAGGCATTGGCTTTTTTTTTAACGTGTGGAAAATCTTCAAAAGACCGTCACCCCGCCGAAGGGAGGGCGGGGCGGTGTGTGAAATTTGTACTCACCAAAAACCACACGGTGTACCTACGAGCGCCTATGCCGGAGCCAGGGGATTCGCATGTGCATTTCCACCCCAGCTCCGACGGCGACGGCCCGCCCTGTAGATGTTGTAGAGCAGGCCCCATCTCGTTATGTGATTAGGGCGACCTATTTCGCCCTACTCCATTGTGGAGGCGTGTGGGTACACGCGTACACCTCCGGGGCCTTTGGATTGGGGGACTGCCTCCCTCAAGGCAGTCACCCCGGCCCCAGTGGGGGATAGAGGGGGGCGGAGTCGGGTACGCCCCCACCTCTAGGCCTGGCTCTTCTGCGGTGGAGGGAAGCGGGACGAGTCCACTCCCGCTCCCTTCCCGCCGCCTCCTTCCGCGAGATAACTTCCTCGCAGAAGGAGCTCACCGCCAGCCACAATTTCTCGCTACTCACCATCCTCCGAACTAAATTCGGCAGCGAGAGATCGTCCCCCACTATTTGTGTGAGGACACGGCGCTCATCCGCGAACGCCGGACGCTCTTCCAGCGTATGTTGCGCCGTGTCCTCTACACCTCCGCATTCGTGGCAGCCGGTCGTCGGCTCCTTCCTCGCCACATGACACAGATACCGCCCGAAGCAGCCGTGCCCGGACAGTATCTGTGTCATGCAGTACGTCAGTGAGGCATTGGCTACCTTTACACGACACATGTAAAGGTACCAAATATGCGGATGAGAATATTGTTAGTCATGGACATAGGACCTAAATCTTTTAATGGCAAACCACCTTATATCTGTTCCCCCACAGGCATTGGCTACCAAATTACACGCACTTCCTTTCCTGCATGAAAACCGATTGGAACGTTAAAGAACGTTTAATGCCATCTGATGTCTAATGTTATGATTTTTTTTCAGGGCGGTTGCATTCTATTGGAAATTGAACAGGGTTGGTGGCGCGTACTGCTAGTGTGGAGCGGTGGTCTGGTGGCAGCATTTGGCGCGTTGAGTGCGGGCATACTACAGCCAACAGTTTACATGGTCAGCCACTCGGCTGGTATTTGGGCACTACTTACTGCACATATACCTAATATCTCTCTAAAGTACGTACCCATAAATGATATTTAAATTATACAATGTCACTTTTTCCTTCCGCCTTCGTAAACGGTTTATGCTGGAGGATGCACTAGTGGACGGTGTACTAGTGATGACAAAGTAAGGATGAGGTCAGGTCAATTAGCCCATCGTAGCAAAGTCAGTCAGGAATTTATCAGATTTTTGGATTTACATGATACATTACTAATAATGGGATTGTTAGTCCACATTATTACCAATCCCCCTCACTTTTGGTTTATTAATACTTGGTGTTCAGGCGCGGTTGTCCTATAAGTGGGCAAAAATATTATTTTTACATTGCAACACTGCATCGTCATGTTTCAGCGGGCCAGAGACAAAATTACGACGGTTACATTGCATATTCGAAATCTACTAACGATCACATACGCATTATCATACGTAACAATTGTGAACCATTTTCAAGTAAATTAAAAACTAGTCTGGAATGTTTTTGTACCGTTTAGTGAGAAGAGAGGCGCTCTTCTCACTAAAAGGCGCAAACACTTGGTATAATACAAAGTTCAATGGTTGGAAGTGTCGAATGAATATGTTTATGCTATATCTTTAATTAATTTACAGGATTGGTAGCATCCCGTGTTGGTGGGGTCGTATTATACTCGTGGTGGTGTTTCCTGTGGTTCAAGTTTGTTTGCCATTGTGGCCAGAACTTTCACTGGATGTAAATTCCGATGTGTGGTCAGCGCATTTGACGGGGGCGATGGTTGGCGTACCCTTAGGATTTCTTATTTTCAAAGGTAAGGTATGCACCTTACCTTTACTTTTAAACACAACAAATTCCATACACAAAACAAGGAACAACACAAGGAAAATCTCAAATTTAATAATAATTTCTGATTATACTATTTTATTATCTACTTAATTGTTTTGAAATATATATACTGGCTATATTACAACTTGGTAATCATGTTTTTTATATATGATAATGAAATACTTATTAGGTTTCATATAAATATTTGAATCAGTAGTTGTTTTTTGGTGATATTCAAAACAGATGTATTTATATCTAGTACCCATAACACAAGCTCTATTTAGTTTGGAACTAGATAGCGCTGTGTGACTTGTCCAGGGTTATTATTATTATTATATTCGAAAAACGGAACAAACATGTAATTTTCTTCATTATTAAAAAAATCAAATTCTGAAGACCCAATTTTAAAATCTACGATTAAAATTTTCCTACTACTTGTACCATTGCTATATTACATAGCGTTAGATATTATTTATTTATTTATTAAAACTTTAATGCACATAATTGAAAGTACATATGGCGGACTTAACACCATGCGGCATTATCTACCAGTCAACCATGGGTGGTGCAGAGAATAATTGTTGGCGGTGCAAATATAAAAAATATATTAAACGATACACATAAAAATATATATCAATAAATAACTACACATATATATATATACATACATAAACCATACATAAATACATATTTAATAATCTGACAATGAAATATCATGTACTGCCACAATAATGGAAATAAATAAAAAAAAAAACCTATACGTAAAAATAAAAACAATAAGAAAACAGGACACAGGTTACAAGTTTAAATAATGTTCCCGTAATTTACGTTTGAAAGAAAATCTACTCGTGGCGGTTTTGATATGAAGGGGTAAGTCGTTCCAAAGTTTGATTGCCTGAATGGCGAAAGAATAATGGACGAAACCAGACAAATGAGCCGGGATATGAAGTAATAATTTTCTAGTAGTGCGAAGAGAGCGATTGGTGTTGTCCCCATGGAAATGATATTATCAATAGATCTTATTATATATGTACTTAATTTAACTCAACAGGAACTGAAGACAACAAATACAAGCTGCGCAACATCTTCTTCCAAATCATATCAGCTGCGGCACTCCTGGAGGCGGTGGTCTGTGTTATTATCTATTATAACTTCTATGCAGACTCAACAACCATTTATACGGCAAAGATCTAAGATGGTACTGTCATTATGTTACTTATGTTGTACTATGTATTGTCTATTATTATGAACATGTGTGTGATTTGTAACAAACAAATAAACAATATATCTATCTACCTATAATATCAGGGAAGAAACACGCAAAACGAAGAAAAACTTTAGCTGATGCAAAACAGCTGAATCTATATAGTTCTCTTCAAGATTGAAATATTGATATTAATGCAACAACTCATCCAAAATTTGTAACAATATATTCAGCTGTGTTTGTTGATATTGTACGTTAAACTGTTGACTGTGATATAAGAACTGTTATTGAAACAGATTATAAGCACAACGATGCACTTGGTTACCTAGATGAAGTGGAAGTTACTCCAGCCATAAGTTTTGTTACAAATGAAAATGCATTTTTAAAAATGAAGTATGTTATATTAATAAAATTTATACCCACATATTTATATATGTATATTTATATACAAGAAAAATGAGAAAAACAAAAAAAAAATTAGTGTCCATGTGTTTGATTAGGAGTATGGGTATGTAGGTAAGTGTGTGTGTGTATGTATGTGGGTGTATGTGGGTATGTGTATGTGTGTGTATATTATTTATATAGTTTATATAGTAATTCTTTTACTACATATGTATTTTTAAAATCACTAGTATCCTGACGACTTAGGCGTAATGCCGGTTGGTCAGGGAGAGAAACACCTCAATGCCTACAATATTCACAATTACCTATCTCTTATTTGTTTTTATAATATCAACACTTTCGCTCCAAAATTCCGCTGCCTACGTTCAATCATCCGTCCTCCACTTGTCAATGTCACATAGATTACTTTGGCTTTGGCCTCTGACGTTTCGTTTCAGGTTACATGATTATTGACTTTACCACTTTTAATTAAAGGTGCGTCACACGATAGTTAACAGTATGTAATTACTGGTGTTAATTTTTTAATACATTTTCTGTTTGGTCATAGTCAAAATTTTCTAAACAGGTTTTTAGTATGTTTTTAGCACAGTTTTTTTCATCTTTTTTTATGCTGTATAATGCTGTAAGTTTATAATAGACTCACAGAGTGCTTTATATACCTGGATTATGAGAGTTTCATGTGCAACATCTCTAAGATTTGTGCTGCCATAGCTACGTTCCATGTGTTTGCATGAAAGAGTCCAACAGTAACATCAGCAAAGGCTAGAATATTCGCATTTTGTATCATGAGTTTACTGAGCTCGTTTATGTAAACCAAGAATAGACTAGGAGCTAAAGTACTACCCTGAGGGACTCCGTAGTTGCTGATTGTACTGTGGCTTTCGTATTTATCAACTTTGATAATTTGCTGTCTATTATTAAGATAATTTTTAAACCAAGACAATGCTGTACCACGAATTCCACAATTCTCAAGTCTGACTAAAAATATTGGAATTGAGACAGTATCGAATGCCTTCTGTAGGTCCAGAAATACACCAATACACTTAAAATAGAATGGAATAGAATAGGAAATCATTTATTCAAATAAACTTACATTGAAGTACTTTTGAATAGTCATTACATTTTTTTAATCTACCGCTCATTCGGAAAGCTGTCTCATCACAAGAAGAACGAGCAAGAAACTTGCGTGTTGCTCTTTTAAATAACTTTATTATTACTTTACATTTTTAAGTTTAAGTGTGTGAATACAAACTACCAATTAGCACTAATCCAATTAAATACTCAAATATAAAAAATATTGAATATATAACCAACTGGTTAAATAAATAAATAAGAGGAAATCAGTCATAGTGATTAGAGCAGACCAGTCCCTACAAGCAGCACCCGTTCACGAGTATGTCGGATGAGCCAGCCATCACTGCGCTCGACCATATTTTAGGGAGCCCAATGACCCGGCCCACCACGCCGCCACAAATCTGGACATATAGGCTACTCAGCCTTCATATCCATATATTAAAATATCATTATATATATACTAATATTAAATAAAGACAAACAGACATACACACACACATAATCATACATCAACATTATATTATATACACTTATATCTACCTATTCTATATTATTATTATACTATGTACATCACGCTTTATCATATTAATATGTCTTAATATTAAATTCATTATTAACGTACATAGCTATCTATACATACAGCGCCGAGCGCCGTGCATAGTAGCCGCGCGCGGGACCGGGTCCCGGCAGCGGGGCGCGGGGCGGTGCATGAACTGCGCGAAATAGTGAGATTCGCCTCGCAGTCGTGATTTTTACATCTTAGGCATAACCTGTGTCACTCGCTTGCTTACGCGCTGCTTATAAAGTACATCGTAATTATAATAATTCAATTTCTGTTTCACACTATCATTCTTCTTTCACTCCTTCTCATTCTATATGCTGTGGACTGTACTCTATGTGTATGTAACTACTGTGTATGTGCTTGTAACCCGAAATAAACCACTGGATCTATCGGGACTGCGTTTCTTGTTCCACCTGGCTTTCCTCATCTTCCGCACCTCATCTGTTGTGCTGGGCTGTACACCAGCACTCAACAGTCGGCACACCGCATACACCTCAACAACCACCACACTGGTGACCCCGACGTGATAACAAAGAAGCAATAATGAGTGATAGTAGTGACGCTAAAACGCCGTGTTCACAAGATGGCGGAGACGAAAATGTTACCAAGCGTCGTGCACATAAAGCGGGCGTTTCCTACAAACGCCGCATGGCAACCGACATATCGACGGTAAATTTAAAGGTTCCGGCTTTCGCACCAGACGATCCGGAAATATGGCTCGTGCTACTAGAAGGCCAGTTTACATTGCACAACATTACCGATGACGCCGATAAATTCGCATACGTAGCCGGTAACCTCGATATACAGCACGCCAAAGCCGTAAAAGATATATTGCTAAATCCACCGGCCAGCAAGAGGTATGAAAAAATTAAAAGTGAGCTAATACGTCGCTTATCTGCCTCCCATGAAAAAAAAGTGAAGCAGCTACTGACACACGAGGAACTTGGCGATAGAAAACCGTCACAGTTCCTACGGCATCTCCTAGATCTCGCCGGACCTTCCGTACCTGAGGACTTCGTTAGGACCATCTGGAGCAACCGGCTTCCACAAAGTATCCAGACTGTATTGGCGTCGCAACCAACGCATTCCTTGGAGCAGCTGTCAGACCTGGCTGATCGCATTCAGGAGATAACTACCCCATGTCACGTCGCTGCCACTTCATCTGGCGCGTCGTCTTCTACCAGCGCATCCCAGGAGATCGCAGAGCTGAAGAAGATGGTCGAGCATCTGGCACTAAAGCTCGGAGAACGCACCACTGCATCACATCATCAACGACCTAATCATCGCTCTAGATCGCAAAAGCGTCGTAACTCACCACGACAACGGTCTAGATCGAACTCCAGCTACCGAAAGTTCCCTGTTTGCTGGTACCACTCGATGCATGGAGACAACGCACGCAAATGCGTAAAGCCGTGCGACTATAAGGCGGGAAACGCCACGAGCAGTCGGTAATGGCGGCTGACGATTGCCCCGCCTCACCTGGTCGCCTCTTCGTCACCGACCGCAGTTCAAACACCCAGTTCCTGGTGGACACAGGTAGCGACTTATGCGTCTATCCTCGATCTGCGCTGCGTGAACGACGCGAGAAGACGGACTTTAAATTGTGTGCAGCCAACGGGACCAACATAGACACATATGGTTATGTAGAATTTAATTTAAATCTTGGTTTAAGGCGTAACTTTCCATGGCGTTTCACTGTAGCTAATGTAACTAAAGCCATTATAGGCGTTGATTTTTTAATTCATTATAATTTAATAGTAGATTGTCGAAACCGCCGCCTTACAGATAATACTACAAATATGTATACAAATGCCAGTTTTGCTAATAATGGAACATTTTCTGTAAAGCTTGTTACGGGTGACACAAGGTTTCATCATATCTTAAATAAATTTCCGGAAATTACTCGCCCTTCTGGCACACCATTGACTCCAATGCACAACACCGTACATTATATACGCACTACACCTGGTCCGCCTATATCATGCACTCCTCGGAGATTAGCTCCTGATAAACTTAAACTAGCTAGGCAGGAATTCGAACTCACGATTAGTAATGGTACACGTCACGGCACGTCCTTCTGAAAATCCCTGGGCCTCGCCGCTACACCTTGCACCCAAAAAGGATAACGGCTGGCGGCCCTGCGGCGACTATCGGCTGCTGAACGCGAGGACGATACCAGACCGTTATCCTATTAGACACATACACGATTTTGCTCACAGTGTATCTGGTTGTAAAATCTTTTCTACTATTGACCTGGTTAAAGCCTACAACCAGATCCCGGTCTATGAGGGTGATATACAGAAAACTGCCATTACCACTCCGTTCGGACTTTACGAATTCCCTTATATGACGTTTGGCCTACGCAACGCGGGCCAAACCTTTCAAAGATTCGTCGACGAAATGACTAGAGGGCTCGATTTTTGTTATTGCTACTTGGACGACTGAAAGAATGTGTTTTTTCTCGAGGTAATTCATCAGCCTTTCTAGTGTACTCCAGAGATGAAGCTGAACATGAGCATCACCTTGAACAGCTCTTCACTCGCATGAAGGAATTCGGTATCCTCATCAACACTTCTAAGTGTATATTTGGAGTAAGTGAAGTCAAGTTTTTAGGGTATCATATCTCAGCGTTTGGTACTAAGCCACTAGAGGCAAAGGTCGAAGCCATTAAGGAGTTCCTCGCACCAAAGAACGTCAAGCAGTTGAGACGTTTCTTGGGGATGATAAACTTTTACAGGCGATTTATCCCTCAAGCCGCGAAAGTACAGGCGCCATTGAACAACTTGCTCATTGGCTCAGCAAAAGGGTCCCATCCCATAAATTTGTGCGACGACACCCTGCTGGCCTTCGAGCTATGTAAAGGAAGCCTGTCAAATGCTGCATTAATCGCACACCCAGACTGTCAGGCCAAGCTTGCCCTGGTAACATACGCATCTGATTTGGCCATGGGTG